GCTCATGCATATGATATAATATGACAGTTATGATATTATATGATATGATATGAAAATTATGATAAGATATGTATGTATGATATATGGTTCTTGATCAACACTCCGTTGAGGACGTACTCGAAGATTATGTATGGACTGGTCAGAGTGAGAATTACGCTTTGGAAGTTCATAGACTGGTCAAAGTGAGAAATTACGCTTTGAGAGTCTTATGTTGTGTTATATAATGTTATGATATGATAGGAAATAGTATGAAGTAATATGATATCTTGCTATGTGATAGGTTATAAGGGAATATGTTATTTTATAGTACGTATAGGTTTGGAAAGTACAGGTGTGGATTTCCCTTGCGAAATATAGACCCTGGGAGTATATGTTTATGTTAAGATCTCCTTTGTGGAATGTAGCCCCTAAGTGTATAAGTATAGATATATGTTATGATCTCTTTTGCGCGATACAGCCCCTAGGAGTATCGGTGTAGGTGTAGGTATAGGTTAAGATCTCTTTGCGAGATACAGCCCCTGGAGTATAGCCTGGGAATATGTATGTGTATGAAATATGTATGGGTATGAAATATATGATGTATTATATGCTATGTTATCTGACATTTATGCAGGAAGTGAACTCATGGGTGGAGACTATTCCATAAATCCTAGATTTACTGAGATGGTTAATCTCACCCCGTCAGGGGACTTACTTTTCAGGTACTACAGATACAGGAGAGCCATCTCAGGGCAAGAGACCAATTCAAGATGGCTAGAGATACTAGCTGGAGCAGTTAGCTAAGTAGGTTTATATTAGTAGTGGCACAGAACCATATTCTGGTATGTATGTATGTATATATATGGATTGAACTTTTTTGTTTATCAGGTGTTATGCTATCCGTAAAGACTTTGTTCGAAATGGTATCTATTATCATATTTGGATAGTGATTTGATCATTAATTATGGTCATAGGTTTATTAAGTATGAATTCTATGCAGATATGAGACTGTATAGATTATGTTATATTGAAAAATAAATTATGCGTGACTATATGTAAAGATAAATTAAAAGAAAAAAGTTAAGTCACTTTGTTACTCGATGTAATGGTGATACTTTTATGTTAAGTCTTCCGCTAAAATAATTAATTGACAAGTTTTGTAACCATATGTATGTTAACAAAATGGCTGCAAACAGGGTGTTACAAGGTTCCTCTTAGACAATTTTACAAATACTTCGGGGTGCATATTTTTACACCTCATGGCTGAACCATATAGAGTTCTTTAAACTCATCCATTTTCAGATTTCAATTCATTTTTGTAGAAGAAAACATCAATCAACCAAAACAACTCATCAACCAACAAACCCCCCCCCCCCCCCAACATATTCTCATTAAAAACCTCCATTAAAATTATCCAAGATACATTATAATTCTGTTTTCCAGCCATGATTACATCCCTTAAAGATGAGTTTACATACCTTGAATAGCTTCTTTAGAAGCTAAGGTACTTCTTCCAACAAGAAACAAAGATGGCAGACCACAAATACCCCTTTGATAACTTTGAGGTTGCAGTCTTGCGAGGGGATTATCTCACAAAATAAAACACCTTTTGAGGTGCTCTCACTTGGGTTATCTTCCTAAGATCCTTCCCTACAACTTTTATGAAGAGCACTACGTCTAGAAATGAGTGTTTGTGGGAGTAATATTTTGTCCTTTGTCTCTCCAATATTTTCGCTACACTTGGAAGAAGGAAGGAAAGGAAGAGCGTGGATCACAACTTGAAGGAGGGTTGTCGAACTTTTTAAAAAGAAGGCTACTAAATGAATATTTTTTTTTACTTAGTTACTTAACCTTTCTCACATTTTTAACTTGCAAACTAAATTCTTAAAATTCATATTGATTACTTTAATTAACAATTTACCTTCACAAACATCAAAATAATTGGCTGCAATGAAAACATAGATGCACCTAACGTAGATAGGAAATTTTACTAAGTTTGATAATGCTTCATGATTTAATTACTTTTTCCAAGTAATTTAACTTATTTCATTTTTTATTTATTGTCAATTACAATACTTTGACTCATTTGTATAAATTAATCTAGATATCATCTATTAAAATTAAAAGAACTTTATACCCATAAAATTTACCACTAATCAGTGTAATTTAATTATGTGGGGTATTATAAAGTTCAATCTCTAAAATCTCAACATCTTTTAGGAGCCTTAAGTAGAAAAGTATGTCACTTTTGTTGAATCCTAAATGATTGAATTGTTAAACATCTTAAGTTTTGATGATAACAAATCACAAGCAAGCTCAACATGTAAGCACAATGAGAAGAACAATGCTACGAGTCCAAAATGGAGTAAGCGGACCATTCCAACATGTAAAAAGCTAGAAAGTTGACGAAGAAAAAATCCATCTCAAAAGTCAAAATTTTGAAAGTCAAAGAAGACTAAAAAGGAGTCAAAGCTTGAAGCACAAGGAATACAAGCCAAGTCAAATGCTCAATAGGCTAGAAATATTATATTAGGTATGGAAACAAAGAAAATGTTGTTTATTGAGCTATCTCATCACGTTATACATACATATAAGGAATCTAAGTAGTGTAATTATTTATACTTGATCACATACACATGACGCTATATTATACAAAGGCTAGACACATTCAGTCACTTGTGATAAATAATTAGAAATCATAAAGAGTTGAGTTGGATCGAAAATTGCATTAATAGACACTTCTGTTCTTTAATTTACCGAACAAAATTGGGCATTTAATCGTGTAACCATAAGTGACTAACCCTATTAATTGTCGATAAACAATTTACTTAAGTAACCCATTGAGAGTTACCCAAGTACATATGTAACAAAGCTAAAATTTAGTATTTCGATCTCCAATGGCTATAAACGACTAGTATATCCATTAAGCTCCTATACTAACATTTTTTAGGGTTTTTAATTATGCATTACACTCACTTTACACCGGATTACACAAAATTCATAGTGATCATCATTTGAAGGCATTTCGGTATACTTGAGAGATAAGACTCTTTAATTCTTCTTATTCTTCTACGCTTCTATTGATTTCCTATTTTTATTGTATTGAGAAGAGGTTATTCTTAATCTGTTTTGATTAGAATTTGTACTCAAAGTTGTTTTTGGTGAATTAAGAGATCCTATAGGTGTATAGGTTGAGAAAGTGGCCAAGATTGGTCAAAAATCTTGTAAAATTCCTTTGTATTTCAATTTTTCAAACACTGGTTGGAAGATTCTAGTTAAGTGTACGTGTAACGATAGTCTAGTGTGATTTGATGGTGAACCATGATAAATCACAATCTTTGATCTTCTAATCCTTAAACTTTTTAATTTCCGCTTTTGATTCTATTTTTGCTACATTTTAGACTCTGATTCAATTCTATTTTAAAGGTATATGAGGTTTAGAATTCATTTTTGATCAAATTTCTTTGATTTTATTGATTTCAAGTCAAGGGTAAAGGTTTCTTGTGAAACAAGCTACCACAATTCACCCCTTGTGGGTTTAAGCCTTTCATTATTAACAACTTTAGCCCGACAACCCAAACTATTAGACCATTCAACTGGGGGTAAATATTTTGAACCTACATAATGGGTTCTATCAATGCTGAGAGATCATGAGCTCTCTATAAATAAAAGGATAAACTTCGCGAGTAAGTTTTATGAAACCCTAGCCTCCCTTAGTGTCATTGTGCGCACACACCATCCCCATTAGCTTTAAGTCTTCTCTCGTTGTTTGCACTGGTCTGCCACGGTTGTATATTCCATAGACACCACTAGCTCTTAAATCTCTTAACAATTACGATTCTCTATAATTGAACAAGATGACATCACATGCTACGAGCATGACTAAGTAATCAAAGGTGAGGTTCTATTGCCCACAAATTCTCTTTATGTATTTATTTTTTTTAAATTTCTACACTAATTTATTGATTATCTAACTAATTAAGTTTGAGATGAGTAAAATCATACAACAAAACTCTCATTACCAAATTTTTAACTGTATATGAATATTCAAATTCAAGATTACTCTTTAAATTGGAATAACTATCAATGTATTCATGTATTCGCTGATCCTTTATGTATTATTTTTAAAAAAAAAAATTGGGAGATATATATATATATATATATATATATATATATATATATATATATATATATATATATATATAGGGACAGGATCATCTTACACCAGTGTAAAAATAATAAGTATTACACCAAATCTTAACCATTGATTTTCTGCATCTAACGGTAAAGATGTATTAGGTCTCACTCATTAATTAATTTTTAATTCCCAATAAATCTCAACCGTTAGATGCACGAAAATCAACGGTTAAGATTTGATGTAAGATTTATTATTCTTACACCAGTGTAAGTTGATCCTATCCCATATATATATATATATATATATATATATATATATATATATATATACATTATTATTCTATATATTATTATTCTATAGATATATAGAATAAATAAGGATATCCCCGTTAATTGTCAGATATATATATATATATATATATATATATATATATATATATATATATATATGAGGTAGGATCCTTTGACACCGGTGTTAAATTTGACACCTCATCTGAGAGTTGTTCGATCAAAAAAAGATCAATGGTGTCACATGCTTACAAATCATACTCCTTGATCTTTTTTGATCTAACGGCTCACAGATGAAATGTCAAATTTGAAATTTGACACCGATATCAAAAGATCCTACCTGTATATATATATATATATGTGTGTGTGTTATTTTCGCAACTTTAACAGAGGAGATAAAAAAATATCTCGAAAAATACTCAAACTTTGGATATGAGATTTAATAAAGAGCCCAACTTGGGATTTTGAAATAACCGGGTTCATAAAGAAATTGGTCCCACCCATTTATATATGTAGTGTTCGTTCTTGTAAGGAGATGTGGCAAGCGATCATTGGAACAGGCTGGTCTCCTCCAGCTATATACATTTGGTTTTCGTCGATCAATCTTCTCTCGCAGCCCACACACAGAACAGAACAGAACAGAACAGAACAGAAGAGAGACCTCACCTCCATCCCAATAAACCATAACAATGAGTAATTACCAGAGAGCACCCCAAGAACCCTATCCCCCTCCAGGTATATATATTCCTTTTTCATTCACAAAACCCTCTTTCTTAATTAACAATCATGAACCTTCTTTTCTTCTTTCCTATCTATCTATCTTTCCTTCTTTTTTTCAATTTTTCATCTGATCTTCTTTCTGCACAGGGTACGGATCTCCTTATCCTCCACCACAGGGTTATACTTATCCCTTAGCGCAACCGCCAACGGGTTACCCATCAGCGCCACCACCGCCGCCACCTGGGTATGCTGGTTACCCGCCGCCGCCGCCGTATGAAGGTTACCAAGCATATTTCAATGAGGGGTATGGGTATCCACCTCCACCACCTCCTCCTCATCCTCAATACCAATGCCACCATGTCCAGCATCATAGTCACGATAACCACGGTTTTGCTTCATTCTTCCAAGGCTGGTAAGTTTTTTTATTTTATTTTATTTTATTTTTTGTTTTCCCATGTTGGTGATTAGATTTAGAGGATTATTTGTCCCTGTTTTTTTTCCCTCCATGTGTGGTGGTAGTGTATATTGTGGCTTTCATCTTATATTCAAGGGAATTGTGTCATAGAAAAAATTATAAGACTTTTGATATTCATGATGCTAGAATGCTGGAAATGCTTGCTTGCTTGCCTCTTGTTCCTTTGTTTATCTTCATTGTGAACATGCTCTATCTGCAACTCAAAATGCATAATCCATTATGGTTTATTCAAAATTAATTATAACGGTTTCTTTCATTTTCTTCCCCTGCTGCTTGTGGATCCTCTTTTTTCTTTTTAAACTTCAGAATATCGTGTTGAGTAGTTAATGATTTCCACACATGCACTAGGGTAACACATCACAGACACATGTTATACTTATTCGGGTTCTTTTCTAGGGGGTTTGCACGGTTCAATTCGGTTTTCTATACCAAATCAAACCAAACTAGAAAAGTCATTTAGTTTGGGAAAACCAAACTGGTTTTAAAAGTGGTTCGGCTCTTGAACTGTTTTGGAGAAAATGATTCGGTTCTTAAACCAGCGCGAAAAAATATGGTGTGGTTTGGTTTGGTTTGGTTTGGTTCGCTGTTCAATTCAATTCATTTGGTTCTTTTTCACTCCTAAAATGGGTATGGTTCGATTCAGTTTTTATCCCGAACCAAACCGAATTGGTCCAAAAAAACAGTTCAGTTATTGAACTGGTTCAAATAAAATGATTTAGTTTTTGAACTAGTTTACAAAAATATAGTTCTTTTGGTATGGTTTGGATCAATTCACAGTTCACTTCGGTTTATTTGATTTTTTTGCACACCCCTACCCTTTTCTACTTCCCCTTGTTCTGATACAAATGGCTTTTTTATTAGAAAATTATGTCAAGCTCAGAGAGTCACTTCACACGACGACATCCATTGGAACACAGTTATTTGAACACAGTTAGTTGTAATATGGAATTCTGGATCAATTGGAACACAGTTATATGGAATTCTGGATCAATTGGAATATGGAATTCTGGATCAATTGGAACACAGTTATTTTGACAATTACTGTATGATTGTACCCCAATGTGAAAGTTTCAAACGAACTGTGTTAGCTCCCATTTGGTCTCGTACACAACTTGATGGTGCACCATGTTTACAGCAAACATGATCCCAATCCTCATGCCGAAAGCAGTAATGGCATGCTTTGAACGTTATAGATTATAACATAGGTATTAGTTTCAAATGTTAGATATACATATATAGAAATTTACCAAGAAAATATGCATACATAGAACCCTATATACATATAGGGAGTATCAATTTACACAATGTTAGCAAAATTCTTACACCAATTTCCTTCCCTTTTTGTGATTTTAATCTAATGGTTTAAGATCACACAATTTTGTTATGGAGTCTGAATTTAATGAAGAAAATGACTACTGGAATCTGACTTCAACAGAAAAATGAGAATTTGACTCAACTATTAAAAAAATTTGCCAATGAGTTTCGGTAAATCAATTATTTGCTTGATGATTTCCCATTGATAGAAACAAGACACCCTCCCAAGGATCTCAGAACCACTCATGGAATGCAACATTGCTGAACCAAGCAAAGCATCACTCTCTTCTCACCTTCCCATCCCGTTAGAGTCCGCAAGCAGATATATAACACAGCTGCTCCTATATTACCACAAAGGAAAGCCACGTATAGAATTCTCTATAATATGAATAGATATATAACACAGCTGCTCCAATATTACCACAATAAGTAGAAAGTCCTATAAATTCCTCACAGAAACTGACCATTGCTATTGGATCACCTTTCAGTGTTATCTTTGTTCCTTCCATCATTTTTTATTTTTTTTGAAGTACATATCTTTCCTTCTTCTTTTTCTCTATAGTGAGTTAATGATGCACCGGTAGAAATAAATTATCAATTTGTCTATGCTATTTGATCAGTGATCACCTTTTAAAGGCATTATTTTCTTTCTTTTAAGTTTGTGAAAACATTGTTAACGCAATTACTAACTTATGCTGTCAACTCACTAGTATGCAAAAATATGCATTATTCATTTCTCAATGTCGAAGTGGACATTTCTGAATGCCTAACCATTGATATAATTTGGAAGAAGACAGCCATGCACAAATTATATAATGGTAAATAGAGTCTGCATTGGTGAGTCAAAATCGGCCTCCTAGACCACCCGAAACAGTTTCCAGTATGTTCTTAACGTTAACCTTTATCAATTTAACAATGGAGTTTGTTTTTCTCATGTTGTAGGAAAACATTACCCCTTTCCTACACTCACAAACATAGAGAGGAGAGAGAAAAGAGTGGTGAGAGAAAATAAAAAAAGTGGTATCCATGTGCTTTTATGTGCCTGTAGGAAAGTGGTAACATGATACTTGTTTTTCCCTTTAACAATATAGCAAACAAGATAATCGTGTAGATCACCATAAAACTGTGACATTTTAGCAAGATCGATGACACCTCCACTATACTTCTCCATGGAATTTATAGATATATCCCTCACCTCACATCACCATGGAATGACTTTAGAGAGGCCCACATGACAAGTCTTTGATTGTGCAACTTTATAGAGTAAAACTGGGTAACATTACTTGAGATCAAAAAGTATTCTGGATACCTATAGCAAAATCCTTTAGACTACTATGTACCCTCATCTTGCTGCATCTCTGGTTGACTAGGACTTTATTTTTCATGTCACTACAGCCTTTCGTTAATGACTTAATGTGCAGAAATAATCAATTTGCTTTTCTAATATATCAAACCAAAGAATATTCTATAATATAGTTATATTTCAACTCGAGAAATCAACTTTTTTAATTGAAAAAAATCATATGAAATCCTTTTTTAGTTTCAGTATTTTATTGCTTGTCCTTTTTTAACCTTTTTGGTGTTGATTCAAGATTAAGATTACTTTGTTTGTTTACATGTGCAGCTTGGCAGCGCTTTGTTGCTGTTGTTTGCTAGAGGAGTGTTGCTTTTTTTGATAATCACTTTAAAAATTGTATCTTCAGTTTGGTGCACTTGGTTGGTTATAGCTCTCTGGAGAAATGTTGCTCTAATGTCTTATTTGGTCTTGTAACAGTTGGTCTTCTCCCCAGCCCCCCTTCATTATTGCGTTGTTCATAGGTTCTGTGATGTGGCCTTTGTGAATTTCTTTGTATAAACGCCTAATATATAATGGAAATTGTAAACAGTCTTTTTATGTGGAATAACAGCCTAATGTATTATGATTATACCCTGATATCCTCATTAATACCCTGATATCCTAATATAGTACGGAATGCTCCATCATATAAGCTTAAGTATATGATTTAAGAAAGGATTACTTGTGTGACAAATGCTCTAAAATCTGCGCCCAAAAAAAAAAAGCTTAATGATAAAAACTAACACTAATTAAATATTAAATTAAAAATAAGTTATGATTACGAGACTCAATTATTGTTCAAACGCTTGGACGCTTGTAAAAATAAGTTATGTTGATAGATGGCACTTTTCCAAGGCTGTGGCATAAAATTAGATATACTTGTACTCGAGTAAAAGGAATTGACAAAGTATTCAATTTGTACAACAATTAAATGAGAAATATAAGTTAATTTGATTTTGGAAAATGCTACATGCCCAAATGTGTTTTGACAGGATAGGAGTCAGAGTTAACGTGCATATGGACTTTTGCTGAATGAGTGATTTCCAATCTTTATTTTATCATACAGGAAAATATAGCCGAAGTGCGTCAAATTTTTAAATAGCTGTGGAGCATTAATATTTAATATTTCCGAAATTAGGTTCATTATATTTGTCAAAGTCATTATATTCAGTTCTAATGGATAAGCGTACTGATATCTTACGCATACAAAGAATATCTCAAAAATGCTATTTATAAAGTATATTTCGCTTGAAGTTAAATTATAATGATTGTGTGTATAAAATAAAAATAAAAATTATAATGATATGGAACGGTGCTACTGAAGCTATCAAGGAAAACAGAGCGGCTGTTTAGATCCATGTGGAGTCAAACTATATATCCTTTTCATATATCTGGTATCATTGGAAAAATAATTTCCAATGGTGCTCCGTTCCGCAATCTCAAATCATAGTATTTTTTATTTTCTTTTTAAACGAGGGTCATAATTCTATTCGCGGCACTTACTAAATTTTAAAGGGAAATAGTACTCTCATTTGACATTTTAATCTCATCTCATTTTCTCTCACTTCAAAAGTCGCACCTTTTTTTTTTCTTTTTAATGGTGGGTCCCACTTAAACTCTCTCTATAACATGAGAGAACTACTCTCATGTAACATAAGACTATAACAGTGGGTGTAAATGAGATGGAACAAGTCAAACTTTAGCTTAAACGAGCTAAGTCTATAAAAAATATTTTGAATTTAATTTGCCTTGTCAACCTGGTATGAGTTAATTCTAGACTTCACTTGCCTTGTTTATGTTTGACTTATTTATAATTATAAAATGTATTTTTTTTCAAATTCACATACATCCAAATGTCCAACTATTGAGATTATAAATGCATCAATTTCTGTAAATGATCGAGGGAGGAAAGGGGTGGCCAATAATTAAGAGAATTTGTTCGTGAAACTGTGACATGAGCAATGGCGGATCCATTTGGGTGCCATTGTCTGCAGTGGCAGACATAAAAAAAAGGGGGGAAAAAATAATTTCACATAGAATGTGTGATTTAGGTCAAGTAAAAAAAATAAAAAAATGAAGATTGAAAGGAAAAAGGTAAAGAGTGGAGGAGAATCACAGATGATTTTTCATGATCTTTTGTGAAACAAAATTGGTCAACTTTGGATCAAATAGATATAGGGGTTTTGATCTATTAACCCTTACAATTATACTATATTTTACAAGGGTTTCTCTTTTCTCATGTTACATGAGATAATATCTCTCATGTTATAGACACAACAAGTGGTAGGTCCCACCACTTGTTAAAAAAAAAAAGATAGCACGAATTTCGATGCCTCACAACATGAGAAAAGAATCTCCAATAATATGAGAAAATGATTACCCATTTTACAAATGTCTTTTTGTGGTGTTATTTATTTTTTAATTATCATTATCAATTATTTCCTTAAAACTTTGGTTGATTCACCAAAGCTTTATTTTTGAAGTGGAAGCAAAAATTGGATCATGATCTTTAAAAAAAAGAGGGGTGGTGCCCCCGAGCCCCCGCCCTAAGTGTGCAGACATAAAAATATTTTTCTGAATCCGCCACAGACAGTGAGATAATACCATTAGACAATAGTAAGAAACAAGGGTTTAAAAATTAAGAGTAATGATTTAGTGACAAAAAAATATATTATTTATGAAAAAAATGTTTGTCCTTTTAAAAATGGTCGTTTTAGTTAAAATGAGTGCTTTTATTTAATATTTAAATTAAAAAAATCTCTTTTACTAAAAAAAAATTAAAAAAATGTATAACTTTCTCCCCACTTGATTGTCATTGTGCATCTTTTTCTCTCGGTATAAAACACTGTAATTTTGACTAAAATGAGATAATTTTATGCTATTTAAAAGAATAAATACTAATCTCATTATTTATTATAATAATATTCAGGTCAGCTCACGGGCTTTCAAGCCAAACATCATTAAATTAAGTTTGAGCTTGTTTTGCTAAATAAGTTTTGTTTAAAGCTTGAGCCCGTTCTATTTATTAAACAAGTCAGGTCAAGTCAAACTTAAAGCAAGTCAAGTCTTGCACCTCTCTAAGACCACTCGACTGATTTACACCCTTATAGGTGAATAGTATTTATTTTTTTCATAATAGAATTATTGCCATGATATAAAAATAGTAAACGCCGGACTTCTTTTTTTTAAGAAATGAAAATGAGCATGTAATCATTATATTTAATTAACTTATTCATTTATTACATGATATTTATTGACTCCGACAAAATCTTCCTTAATTAAAAAAAACATTTTTTTTTATGAAAATCATGTATCTCAATTAAAAATTAAAACATTAATCCGAAAGTGAAAGGAAAAAATTATGATCAAAATAATTAATAGTTAAATTGGCCTTTTAAAAATTAGCATGTTACAATATTAATTCTTCAATTAATAATTTTAATCAGCGTGTTCTACCGTTCTACAAAGTTGTATCTTCGGCTGTGTCAACGGAAGCTGAGCTATCTATCAATTTAGACCATTTTCCCGCAAAGAAAATTGGCCTTAAACATCTAACACAGAAAAATGCTTCAGTTGTAACCACAAAGTGAATGAGGTTTTCTTATCAGGTGCTCTCAAGTTTAAAGTTCAAATCACTTTAACTATCAAAGAAACATGGGGCTTAACACACAAGATGGAGTGAGAATGTTGGATAGAAAGCTAAACCCCCTTGCATCCAACGAAGTAGAGAAAAACAAAATACTCAATTCCAATATTTTTAACAAAGCGAAGTGGTATTATGCAATAATAATAATAATAATAAGATCAAGAGAAAAAAGCAAAGACATCATCTAATATATGCATAAAACTAGCAAAATGCAAGTAAAGAACAAACCACTACACCAGGCTAAAATTGCATTTATCAGTCAGCCTAAACCAATACAAACTGCTGAATAACAGGTAATCAAATAGACCTAAGAAGATGCACCTAAAGAGTCCATACATATTCTGGTGCATCTTTCCTTTTCCCAGCCAATGTACGATACAAATACATCTTCTCTACCCTTTGTCCATCTTCAAGGCTACAATCTGCATGTTCATTTTCATTGAAGATCTCCACATTCAACCTTGGCATCTTCTTAGCAAGTGTCTTGCAAGCTCCGACGGTCACTTCACACGACGACATCCAAAGGGATCGCATTGTTTCATACTTCCCTACGTCTGTCAGAAGTGCCATGTTACCAAAAGGGCTGTCTCTTATCTCAAGCTTGCGAAGTTTCTTGCATCCATTCAACACATAGAGCATTCCCTTGTCACTCTCTCCAGCAAATGCAATAGATAACATTTCAAGCTGTTCAGCATACATTCCTATGTAAAGGAAAACCTGGTCCGTTAATTGGCCTGACATTGATAACCTCCTAAGTCCCCTGCAAGATTGCACAATTGCTCCAAAACCTTCATCCAATGGCTGCATTGTATCAGGGTCGGGTTTGGTTGCATCGAGGATACACAACCTAAAGCGAATGAAATTCGGGCAGTTCTTAGCAACTGTTATGAGGGCAGCATTTGTCATCTGGTGGCAGAAGTAGAGTAATGAGTGAAGCTTAGGGCAACCCATTGATATCGCAACCAGTCCTTTTTCGGTGACAGCCGCCGGATTTCCAAAGGGAGCAGATGGAAAAACCCTCAATTCTTGCAAATCCTTACATGTCTTAGCTACAACACCTAGTCCCTTGTCTCCAATGCAATCCATTATCTGCACAAGTCTAGAGATTATTAACATTCACCAATTCAAGAATGGATGAATAAAAGGAAAAGAATTTCAACTTAATATGTTTACCCATAAGCGCTGAAGTTTCCCACAGTGACGAATTAGTTCTATCAACTCAATGTCATGAATGCCTGCTGCATAGCTCAGGTTTAATGATGTTAAGTTCTGGCAAATGGGATATATGGTTTCAAGGCAGTTAGGAGAAACTTCTAAGAATCCTGACAAACTGGTAATTGACTTGCACTTTAGAATGGTATTCTTTAGCTTCGCTTCGGCCTCTGAATCTGGATCATGAACAAAAGATCCAATGCCCAAATCCACTAGTTGAGGTGCTCGCGTCATTATCCTTTGCAGTGCATCAAGGGGCACGGATCGGTTCAACCTTAAACTCTTAAGGTTAGGAGATCTGGCCACAAGCCTCTCAAGAGCTCCCAAATTAATCTCTCCTCTAAGGCAAGCAAAATTAAGAGAGACAAGTGATGTGCAGCTTTCAGAAAAGCAACTTAGCCACTGGCCTTTGTGATCGTCAACATCATTTTCTTGCAGGTCCAGCTCCCGCAGAAACCTACATTTCAAAAACATAATAAAAAATAAAAACAAGCAATATGGGGAGTAAAGAGCATTTTCTTAACATCCAGCAGGCCATTCTCAATTAGCAGAATAGATTTCTCAATATCATTCTTCCCTAACCCCACACATACCACATACAAACAAGATGGAGGAAGATAATTTTCCAAGATTAAACTCCTATTCATAAAGAATTCACAAATTGACAATAAACTGAAGTAACAATAGATCAATAAAGCTCTCAAGAAACTCTTGAGCACTAGCTTGTCCTTAAACCTTGACATGTGGTAAAAGCTAAGTTCAAAGCCATTCCAACCACTTTGCTCAACTTGTTGAACTCCACATCTCTAACTGTAAGCCACATAGAATACAAGCCAATAATCAAGTAACAAATATCCAAAACAAACCAAAGCTTTGACACTACCACAGGACAAAGACATCAACCAATCAGAAATTAGCTGCCATATACCTTCAACTATACAGCTTCCAAAACAAAAAACAGCATGAAGCCATCAAAAATCTTACAAACAAAACCCATACAAAATGAAAACAAAGACAAACAAACAAACCAAAAACCAATTCTCCATCAAAAACTTCAGATCACAGCGGTTATATACAACCAACTAAAGATTCAAACCAAAAAGTCCTTCTCACCTGCAATTTGCAGCTACAGCAGCAAGGCCATCGGTGGTGAACCCTTCACAGCTAACAAGAACTAGAGACTTAAAAGTCATAAAAGAACGAGAAAGTAGCTCCAGGCTCTCATCCGAGACCACCATCCTCTTCAGCCTAAGCTCCTCCAATCCAACCCTGCTCTTTGCAAGTGCTTCAATCCATGGATAAACATACCCACCCCAACCATGAGGAACCAAACTGAAGTCAGCAAAATGAGGCTTTCCCTTCAAAGTTAGAGATTTGAGACCAGGAAACCTCTGGATCAACCTCTCAGGACTAATAGAGTAACAGTTCCCTATGAACACCCTCTGCCTGGTACATCTCTCTATTCTGTACCAGCTTTTGCACACCAGAGACAAAGAGTTCCGGTCACGGTGTGACACCACGTAATCAAAAACATGCTCTATTACCTCGTCTGGAAAATAATTCATCTTTTTTTTTCTCTTTTATTTTTCTCAGTCAGCGATCCAAACTCCCCAACTTTCCCGGAAAATTTTTCATACTCCAAATGGGAAAAATATTAAGAAAAAAAACTAGAGCTCCCAAATTTGATGTTCCATTACATCATGACAAAACCAAGATCTAAACACTAAGATACCCTTGAAAATCAGAGAGGAAAAAAACAGATCTTGGCCCCAAAAAGAGTGAAATAGCAAGATCTTCAAATCTAGAACATGATGGAAGATCTAAACAAAAGGCTTAAAGTAATTCAAAGGCAAGAGGGTACTGATAAAAATCGAAAATTTTATATTTCCCAGTTTGGATCTGCTAACAGAGTTGAAATAAAAATAAAAAAAGATCACAACTTTTCTCAGGAAAAACACAAGAGAAATGAAATGAAAAAATGGTGGGGGGAAAAAAGAACAACAAACAGATAATTATGATCTAGCAAATCAAAATGATGATGATGATGATAATAATATTGGATTTCACAAAAACAAAAGAGGGAGAGAGAGAGAGAGAGAGAGAATAAAAGTAAAAAAGATGAACTTGGATAGATCTGAGAAAATCTAAGATTTGCAAAATTCCTAATTACATTATAGACAACACCACCACCTCAGAGCTAAAGCTGAAGAGAGAAAAAAAACCAAGTCCCTCACTTGCTTTTTTGTCACTCACATGTTAAAACTGAAACTCAGAGTCATAAGGGGGAGAGAGAGAGAGAGAGAAACTCAATTGGTTGGGTATAGATTTATTTAACCATGGTTAACTCATCCTAACTATAATGGTTAAGGGATGTTCAGGTTTGAATCAAAGAGCAGACGTCGATTTTGATGATGGGATTTTGAGAGAATCTTGAGCGTTGAATGCGTGAACATGCATGTGTCTTTGTCACTGCTTTCGAAGTGAGCCTCCCCTCTGCCAAAGTTTTGCACTCTCTTATCAAAAAAGAGTTTCCAAGAGAGAGAGAGAGAGAAATCAAAAAAAGAAAAAAAAAATGGGGGGCAACGACAAATTGGAAAATGACTGTCGGATTAATGACACCTGTTTTCGGGGAAAACTACGAAAATGCCATGCCTAGGTCTTAGATAGCTATATAGATAAGATCAAAAGAAGACTCGTCACGAACCTACTCGACGCGTGTGTAACACTCGCGATTTATGAAACCCTTTTTCAAGCTTTGTTGGGATGCCACGTTTTTCAAAAGGTTTTGAAAGATGAAATTCACGTCTGATTTGATATTATTTAAATAATTAAAGCAAATAGTTAAGGAAATAAAGTTTTTGTAGGTCCATTATTTTTTTTTCATTTTCATTCTTGAAAAAATTAGAAGATTTTTTTTTTATAAATTCTATTACATATTTACATGTATTTTTATTTATTTAATTTTAATTTTTTATTTAAGGTACCAAATAAAGGAAATCAGGTGTTTTTCATTAGGTGATATCAAAAAGAAAAATAATAATTTCTTCAACTTTTTCTTTAAAATTATTTTTTTCAAAAGAATTGTTTAAAGACATAAATATTAAAAAAAAACATTATGAATCCAATAAATATTTGATATCATTTAATATTTTTATTTTTTTTTAACTAAGCAAATAATTATTATTATTTTGAATATATCACTCCCGGATATTTTAATTTTTTTGAGTTAATTATAAATTTAATTCTGAGTTCAAACTTAATTGTAATTAAAGCTATCCGTCTCAAAAGAATGTATTTATCAAATGACATTGACAATGACAAAATCTACGAAAGTTGGTTTAGGTTAGTTTTTGCATGAATGGCAAGTAGTTATAAATGACAATATTAATTGCTAGTTACGGATCCATAAAGATGTTTACACAACACTGCTATGCTAACTAACGTACACATGATTTCTTGTTTTGTGCTTTTGCCTTTTGGGTCCTTTGATGATTCGGTGCGTTATGGTGCACCGTACCCCTGAAAACAGATCCACGTAATTGGTTACATCACTGCGTTGATCACATCAGTCCAAGTCCATGATAGGAACCGTACAGACCATCACAGCAGAAAGAGAGAGAGAGAGAGAGTGATTGGCCAATGCATCAGAAACGAACCGGTTTGGAATAATACAGCAATGATGGTGGTCAAGTAAAGGTGGCAGTGCCAAAAAATGGGAATGCTTGAAGAGAAGTTTTGGTTTTGGAGGTAGGAGGAGTGTTTGTTTCACGAGAAAAAAGGTTTTATTTCACGGAATATTTTTTACTTCAATGAATTGATATGATTACTACTTGTTGCTTGGGGACACAAAACGTAGCAAGGGTTGTGAACAATAGGCATGAACAAGAAATTATTGTTATTATTACTGATTGAAGCAGGATTTGTTCTTTGTGATGTGAGTGAGAGCACATGTGCAAATTCAAATGTACAAATTCTTGCTGACTTTTACTTGTGTTAAATCAATTTGAAGGGACTGTGACTACTCAAAGATTTTTGGGATTTCGAGCAATTTGGGTTGTGCCCTTGAGCCATGAGGTGTTTGGATTTGTATTCTAGTATTTGTTGTGTAAAGGATGTTTCATTATTACAAAAAAAGAAAAAAGAAAAAAAGAGAGAGGATGTTTCGGCCTTTAAACATGGCTTGGCTGGGATAGCATCTATGGAGGGGCAAACATTTGCAATCCTGATTTACTTTTTCCCCTAATTCATTCTTTTAAATATGCTTTTAAAAATTAATTAATCTTCCCCTAATTAATCAAGGAAGCAATATATTGTGCATGAGCTTGACTCTACGTTCCCCCACATAATTCATTTTATTTAATTTGTTATAGGAAAAAGTGTGTAATTTAAAAGAATACAAATTTAAATCCTTTTAGAAAAGAGAGACATGAAGAGGTGTGTAAGTTTGGCTTTTTTACCCTTATAACCCTTTATTATTAATTAATTACCGATTTGACCTTGATTATAAACTATTTCAAAAATTTAACCCCCTCAAAAAACATAACACCAATCTGCCCCTGTTTGACCGTTGACCACCAAGCCTACCCGGGTACACCCCTCTGTACCCGGATATTTTTTGAAAATTTTTATCTACCCGGGTAGGGAGGCGTGTACCCGGGTATTGTTCTTCGCACCTGAGAAATTGCTTGAATTATTTACCCGGGTAGAGAGGAGTGTACCCGGGTAAATCTTCAACCACCCGGTATGATTGCTCTTTGGATCTCTCATGCACTCTTCTTCTCCAAGCTTTGAATATGGAGGCACCGACTATCACGTGCTCTTCCTCTGCAACTTTTTTGGGTCTGTAAAGCACACAAATATTTTTCAATGATTATTTCAGAAAGAGAATTCTCAGTTAACAGTATAAATCCACAACCACAAAGCTTGTCCCATGCATGTCTTCCCTGAACGTGATAATTCGTCATTTACCAGTAAAATGAAAAGCTACATGCTCACACTAAATTTCTGTACCATGAACCCTGTCTTTATTTTCTTTCCGTCTCACTCTCCCCAATAGACCCGGTACCACATTTATATATAGGAGCGCGATTTTGACGTACATAAAAGTAGACCCCATCATAATCGATACGAACAGGGACCGCTTTGATGAGCAGTACAGTGTTGATGTATGGAAATTCCAAATCCATTCTCAAAGCTAAAAGCTCTTCAAATTGGTTAGGCATGCTTAACTTGATAATACTGATCTATCTCATTAGCTGTAAAAAAGAGAAAAAAAATACCAAATGGGTGGTCGAAGATTTACCCGGGTACACCCCTCTCTACCCGGGTAAATAATTCAAGCAATTTTTCAGGTACGAAGAACAATACCCGGGTACACTCCTCCCTACCCGGATAGACAAAAATTTTCAAAAAATACCCGGGTACAGAGGGGTGTACCCGGGTAGGCTTGGTGGTCAACGGTCAAACAGGGGCAGATTGGTGTTATGTTTTCTGAGGGGGTTAAATTTTTGAAATAGTTTATAATCAAGGTCAAATCGGTAATTAATTAATAATAAAGGGTTATAAGGGTCAAAAAGCCGTGTAAGTTTCATTGAAAAAATAAAAATAAAAATAAAAATAATTAATGTGTGGATGTCTCATTTTTGTGTCTATCTCTCTTTAAAAGAATCTAAGTTTGTATTCTCTAAAAATACACACACATTTTCCTTTGTTATATAATATGAAAAATTATACAATTTTTTTTTTCGATAAACGAAATATTATATACTTACCTGTAGGCGTAGAAATAAGTATAAAAGATAGAAATTATTTTTCTTATGTTATATAAGAGGAATATTATCTCCTACACTCACATTTTTTAAAATGGATCTTACAAGAATTTTTTTCTCTCACCTCCAACTTTTTTTTCTCTCATATTTATTGTTTGAGTAGGAGATAATATTTTTCATATTCATCATAAGAAAAGTATTACTCATAAAAGATAGGGAAATATTTTTCTCATATTGCATGAAACAAATTGTCTCGTGCAACACATAAAAAAATTGAGTGGAACCCACTGAGAATAAGAGAGTGAAAAAAAAGTGAATCCTACCTACTTGTTTGTGTGTTGCATGAGACAATTTGTCTCATGCAACATGAGAAAAACATTTTCCTAAAAGATAAGTGCAAAAATAAAAAGAAATAACTAAGAAGGAACATAACGACGACTAGTATATGCACAATACACGCAAGAATTAATACTTTTCATTTTTTAAACTTTAAAAATTGTAATACGTGATCTTTATCAGTTAAGTTTTTATTTAATATAATATTTAAAATTATTAAACTTAATTTTTAACAGATAATTAATTGCAAAATTCTTTAAATTTTAAACGATAAGTATTTTTTTATTCACTTTTATCAAGAAAGAAAATGGGTGAAAATAATAGTTAATTTCAAATTCTTACAATCAACTGCTAAAAACTTTATCATTCAAATGGGCTTACACTCTCAAAATTTACGATTTATTATGGGGGAGATATTCTCCTTACCAAAAAATTTCACTACCAACTTATTACGTATCTAATCATCATTATA